TCGTTCTCCAGCGACGATCAAAATGTCCTTTTCACGGCAACGTTTTCCAGCGATGATGAAAATGTCCTTTTCACGGCAACGTTCTCCGGCGACAATCAAAATGTCCTTTTTACGGCAACGTTCTCCAGCGACGACCAAAATGTCATTTTCACAGCAACGGTCTCCGGCGACGACCAAAATGTCCTTTTCACGGCAACGTTCTCCGGCGACGATCAAAATGTCCTCTTCACGGCAACGTTCTCCGGCAACAACCAAAATGTCCTTTTGTACGGCAACGTTCTCCGGCGACGACCAAAATGTCATTTTCACAGCAACGTTCTCCAGCGACGACCAAAATGACATTTTCACAGCAACGTTCTCCGGCGACGATCAAAATGTCATTTTCACAGCAACGTTCTCCGGCGACGACCAAAATGTCATTTTCACAGCAACGTTCTCCAGCGCCGACCAAAATGACATTTTCACAGCAACGTTCTCCGGCGACGATCAAAATGTCCTTTTCACGGCAACGTTCTCCGGCGACGACCAAAATGTCCTTTTCACGGCAACGTTCTCCAGCGACGACCAAAATGTCATTTTCACAGCAACGTTCTCCGGCGACAACCAAAATGTCCTTTTTACGGCAACGTTCTCCGGTGACCACCAAAATGTCATTTTCACAGCAACGTTCTCCAGCGACGATCAAAATGTCATTTTCACGGCAACGTTCTCCGGTGATAACCAAATTGTCCTTTTCACGGCAACGTTCTCCGGCGACGACGAAAATGTCCTTTTCACGGCAACGTTTTCCAGCGACGATGAAAATGTCCTTTTCACGGCAACGTCTCTAGCGATAACCAAAATGTCCATTTCACGACAACGTTCTCCGGCGTTGACCAAAACGTGCTTTTCACGGCAACCTTCTCCAACGACGACGAAAATGTCCTTTTCACGGCAACGTTCTCCAGCGATGACCAAAATGTCCTTTTCACGGCAACTTTCTCCATTTGAATAAGGTGAATAGCATGAATATAAGATGCGGTACAAAGATTACTTCATGGGGATAGGAACGATAGACAGCGACTGAATCTTGCCTTGATGTTAACTTTGTAGTATTTATAGAAGCGCCAATACGGGAATCTGTCCCGCAAAATAGTAATTCGTGGGGAGAAATCTGAGTGGAACTTCCTCCTTACAACTGGAATACGACGGAAATGATGCATATTCGGTTCCGTGGGCTGAGATTAAGTATATTGCGGATCAAACATAATTTCTTCCTGGTTATGACGACAAACTACATCCGGTAGCAAGATATCTGAATTTGTCAATCAAGCTTTAGATTAAAATTGGCAGGCTTGGGCTCTGGCTTTAGATATCTCGAAGGCGTTTGACAGGGCTTGGCGTGCTGACTTTCTTCACGAGCTTAAGGGCTATGGTGTCTCTAGCCGAATATTTGACTTAATCCAATCGTTCTTAACTAATCATGCTTTTAGATTTCCCCAAGGGAATTATCTTTGCATCTCCATTACTTTTTTTTTATCTTCCTGACATCATCATTTCCCAGGTAGGTATTAATGCTGATGTTACAACCCTTTACTCTCGTCTTAATAACAAGTCCGATAGAGACGGACTGAGTTAAATTTAGTCCTGGGTATAACGATAAACTGCATCTGGCAGTAAGGCCTCTGATCGGGAGATTGGAGCTTTTGAGGAGCGTGGAACCACCTCTTAATTGCTTTTGTTCCTAAGTCCATCCTAACGTGAGGTGGTAGCACTTGTTAGGGTCGCAGCTATGGGAAAATAGTGAACCCCCAAATTAAAGTCAAAATACTAGAAAAAATATAAAAATACATTATTCGATAAAAATACAAGCAATACATTTACAATAAAATCAAGATTTTATAGTGAATTTTAAGACATGGCATACATTGTAAAAAAATTTAAAATATGTAAGAAAAAACTTGCTAAGGTGATTTTCTAAGTGTAACTTAGATGACGTACTAATCCGAACGTTTGGGGGCACTCAGTGAGAATCGAACTCACTTCTCAGTCATCATTGTTCTCGCAAGACAAGTTAGCTAACCCTGACACCACGTCGATTTGCATCTATGATTAATCTCATGTGTCGTAAGGAGCAACAAGTTTTCACTCCTCGTATGATTTTGTAAGATTATTTGGTAAACATAAAAAATGCACCAGCTGAGTAATTATAATTTAATCATAAAATAATGTAATTCTCTTGAATTAATTACAAAGTTTTCAATTTTCATATTTAGATTTCGCCATTAAATGACCCATAGAGGTGTTGCTATGCCGCTAAACAAAAACGATCAAACCAATCTGTTGTAACCGGAAACTAAAAAAACGGAAGCATCGTTTCATCTATTGTTCAGGCACGGAAGTACTGTGTCGGCCATATTGTTTATGTGTGAATAAATAGCAGAAATATGGCTTCTCCAGTTGGAAGTTATCAGACTAAACTGCGTTGTCGTTGTTATTACAGACCCCATTACCAAGTTGTGACACAATCAAACATAATTTGGTGACTATTTACCTTGTTGAGATCGGCGAATGAATCTGCCGAAGCAAACAGACTATATCGAAAAAAAAAATGAAGACAGACGAACGCGGGAATGGAACTGATCAGTTAGACAAAATAAAGAAAAATGCTGGAAATACCAAAAACAAATATTAGAATATAAAAAAGAGACAACAGTCTGCGAATGTTAGGCTTGGTCTGCATGTGTCACTCGGTAGAAGTTCGAGGAATTGATATGAATGTTTTCTACGGGTTAGATAGTGCAAGAAAAAAAGATTTCTAAAACGGCGGATATATTATTTAATATGATTTTCAAGTTTTTCGTGACATCGCTACCATAACTCACCATGCATTAAATTCCAGACCCCCCGTTCATTGTGCGACACACGAGATGAATTATAATACACTATAAATAAGAAAAAAAAATGCGATGGACTTTAAAATTTATTATTTGTTAATAATACCTTTGCGGTAACATGCGTGGCTTTTACAAACAATTGAAACGGAGAAGTATTTCTTAAGCGTAATTATAGACTAAAATACTTTAAAGAGATTCTTTGTTTTTAGTTCTTCGTGTCAGCGTCATCATCACGCCTGTCTATTTATTTGAATACTGGTGACAGGTATTAAACCACTATAAAAAATTATTAATGCAATAAACTTACATTTTTAGGTGACACTTTGAAGTACGAGATCAGTTTACAAACGATCTAGAAATGGGAAAGTAGTTTACCTAGAGCAATGGCGCTTTAGTCCGCTTCAAACTAATCCCACTGGGGCATCACGCACTTATCCTGGCGTTCGGTCTATTTTTCCAAATTCTTTACAAAGTCATCTTTAATATTTACACTACTTTCGGGATATTCTCCTCATCTTTGTTGTTATTACAACGTTTTCAGTCGTTGTATCATACGGCCTTCTTCAAGTGTATATTCATCTCTATCTACCTGGGCAGTGGAATGAGAACAGTCTAATCCCGTAGATTAAAAAAAGAGTTCAGTTCAGAATTCCCTGTAGGTTACAATTGTAAATATGTATTGTTGGTCATTTTACTATAAAATGTATTGTTGGTCATTTTACTATAAAATGCATTGTTGGTCATTTTACTATAAAATGTATTGTTGGTCATTTTACTATAAAATGCATTGTTGGTCATTTTACTATAAAATGTATTGTTGGTCATTTTACTATAAAATGCATTGTTAGTCATTTTACTATAAAATGTATTGTTGGTCATTTTACTATAAAATGCATTGTTGGTCATTTTACTATAAATATGTATTGTTGGTCATTTTACTATAAAATGCATTGTTGGTCATTTTACTATAAAATGCATTGTTGGTCATTTTACTATAAATATGTATTGTTGGTCATTTTACTATAAAATGTATTGTTGGTCATTTTACTATAAAATGCATTGTTGGTCATTTTACTATAAATATGTGTTGTTGGTCATTTTACTATAAAATGTATTGTTGGTCATTTTACTATAAAATGCATTGTTGGTCATTTTACTATAAATATGTATTGTTGGTCATTCTGCTATAAAATGCATTGTTGGTCATTATACTATAAATATGTATTGTTGGTCATTTTACTATAATAAGTATTGTTGGTCATTTTTTTTAAGCATTTCACCCCAAGCAAGGCTGGAAGCCACTAGCATGCAAGGGGTTACATATGATTTGGAGCGAGAGCAGATAGGAGTGATAGGGGAAAGGATGAAGAGAAGGATAGTGGATAGATCAAGGCAACTGGAGATGTCTATTGACGTTACATTGAAATAGTTGGAGATTAAAGCTATCAGGGAAACAGGAAAAGGGAAGGGAGTTCCACAGGCGAGAGGTGCGAGGTATGAAGCTATTGGAGTAGAAGAGACGGCTACATTTAGGACTTTCGACAGTGAAAGGGTGAGGGCGGGATGCCAGCCTCGTAGGGCGCTTCAACTCATGACGTCTGGGAACCAGCGAATGCAGCTCCTCAGAGCAATTACCATGAAAGTATTTGTAAAAAAGACAGAGAGAGGCGACGGCACGTCTGTGAGAAAGTGACTGTAGACGAGATGCCAGATCAGGGCCAATTGCATTGTACTATAAAATGTATTGTTGGTCATTTTACTATAAATATTTATTGTTGGTCATTTTACTATAAAATGTATTGTTGGTCATTTTACTATAAAATGTATTGTTGGTCATTTTACTATAAATATGTATTATTGCTAATTGTTTTTATATAAAAAATATACTGTTGGTATTTTTATACCTTCATATTGTTTTTGTTTGGAGTACCTAGATGGTTGACTGTGTGGGAATACCACGTGCTGTAAGCTTGGATGTGCCGGTGGTGTAATAAATGATGTCTTGGAATTGTTAATCGAGAGACCGGAGTTCCAATTCCAGTTGGGTTCGTTATAATCACTTACGCGTTGGGAAACGTATAAATCCATCTCTTTCTTCTCCTCCTTTAGCTATGGGTTAATTAGTACGACTTCTTCTCGTTGTGCTTGTCATTTTTCTTCTTGTTTTTTCCATTCTTTTCATTCTTCTTCCCGTTCATTTTATTCTCCTTCCCGTTCATCTTTACGTACTTCTCGTTCATTTTCTCGTTCTTCATTTTCATCTTCTCGTTCCGTTTTTGTATATTCTCGTTGTCCTTTTCTCGTTGTGCTTGTCATTTTTCTTCTTGTTTTTTCCATTCTTTTCATTCTTCTTCTCGTTCATTTTATTCTCCTTCCCGTTCATCTTTACGTACTTCTCGTTCATTTTCTCGTTCTTCATTTTCATCTTCTCGTTCCGTTTTTGTATATTCCCGTTGTCCTTTTCTCGTTGTGCTTGTCATTTTTCTTCTTGTTTTTTTCCATTCTTTTCATTCTTCTTCCCGTTCATTTTATTCTCCTTCCCGTTCATCTTTACGTACTTCTCGTTCATTTTCTCGTTCTTCATTTTCATCTTCTCGTTCCGTTTTTGTATATTGCCGTTGTCGTTCTCGTTGTGCTTGTCATTTTTCTTCTTGTTTTTTCCATTCTTTTCATTCTTCTTCTCGTTCATTTTATTCTCCTTCCCGTTCATCTTTACTAAGTTCTCGTTCATTTTCTCGTTCTTCATTTTCATCTTCTCGTTCCGTTTTTGTATATTCCCGTTGTCCTTTTCTCGTTGTGCTTGTCATTTTTCTTCTTGTTTTTTTCCATTCTTTTCATTCTTCTTCTCGTTCATTTTATTCTCCTTCCCGTTCATCTTTACGTACTTCTCGTTCATTTTCTCGTTCTTCATTTTCATCTTCTCGTTCCGTTTTTGTATATTCCCGTTGTCCTTTTCTCGTTGTGCTTGTCATTTTTCTTCTTGTTTTTTCCATTCTTTTCATTCTTCTTCTCGTTCATTTTATTCTCCTTCCCGTTCATCTTTACGTACTTCTCGTTCATTTTCTCGTTCTTCATTTTCATCTTCTCGTTCCGTTTTTGTATATATTCCCGTTGTCCTTTTCTCGTTGTGCTTGTCATTTTTCTTCTTGTTTTTTCCATTCTTTTCATTCTTCTTCTCGTTCATTTTATTCTCCTTCCCGTTCATCTTTACGTACTTCTCGTTCATTTTCTCGTTCTTCATTTTCATCTTCTCGTTCCGTTTTTGTATATTCTCGTTGTCCTTTTCTCGTTGTGCTTGTCATTTTTTCTTCTTTTTTTTCCATTCTTTTCATTCTTCTTCTCGTTCATTTTATTCTCCTTCCCGTTCATCTTTACTAAGTTCTCGTTCATTTTCTCGTTCTTCATTTTCATCTTCTCGTTCCGTTTTGTATATTCCGTTGTCCTTTTCTCGTTGTGCTTGTCATTTTTTCTTCTTGTTTTTTCAATTTTTTCATTCTTCTTCTCGTTCATTTTATTCTCCTTCCCGTTCATCTTTACGTACTTCTCGTTCATTTTCTCGTTCTTCATTTTCATCTTCTCGTTCCGTTTTTGTATATTGCCGTTGTCGTTCTCGTTGTGCTTGTCAGTTTTCTTCTCGTTTTTCCCAATCATTTCATTCTTTTCATTCTTCTTCTCAAACTTAATATCGAGACAGGAGGAAATGGTTGCGTCTTCAGCACAGATACCAAGTTGAAATCTTATGCCATCGGGAAGACCATTATTGAAAATTATAAACTATGTAGGACCAAGAATAGAGTTCTGGGAGACACATGCGTTAGTAAAAAAAAAAAGGGTCTAGATTCAAGATGGCTTTCATTTCACGATTTGATAAGAAAGGGTGGATCCGTTCAAAAATTTAGTCGGTGTAACTTTTCAACTTATGAAGGCGAGTTGTATGCGAAACCCTGTCGAATGCATTCAAGATGTCCAGAGTAACAATCTGAGCTTCATTTTTCTTATCTCGAGCTTGACAGACTCTTTCCGTAATTAATATTTGACCTAGAGAAACGGAAGTCATATTTCTTGTCTAAAGGAAGGCCCTGCAATGTGAGATGCTTAACCAATTCAGCATTGATTAGGGAGTCTAGTAGTTTTCAAAAAGGAGGTATAATGCTAATAGGCTGATAGGTGGAAGGACCTAAGGGTTCCCCTGTGTTCTTAAAATCCGGAACAACGGATGAAATTTCCAACAAGCAGGAAAAGAAGAGGCAGCGTGACATTTATTATACGTTTTTGAGATAACAGGAGCCAGCTCAGGAGCACACTTTGTAAGGACTATTGCAGGGATACCATCAGGGTTACATGATTTGTGGGGATCCAAATTCGAGATGATAGCAGAAACCATACAAGTTTGTATATGCGTTGACTTAGTGAAGCTTGTCTGAAAGAATACCCTGCGATGTGAGATGCTTAACCAATTCAGCATTGATTAGGGCCTCTATTAGTTTCCCCAAAGCTGATATTTATTTCTTGGTATTGTGCATACTGCAAATTCAAAACAACAACTAATCTATTTTCTTTAATCGAGTTAACCCCAAACAAGGCAATAAAGCCCATAAGACTCAATGGGTTACTGGATGTGGAAGAATTATAAAACAGAGACATTACTAAAGAGCAATAACAAAAGAAGAGTAACCAGGAGCACAGCAAATAGCGACTGACATTGCATTTAAATTTTAAAGATTGAAATTGACTGGAAAGCATGAAGCCGGAAGCGATAACTGCGATAGAAGAAACTGTTAGCATAGAAATTACGGTTACATCTTGCAGACTCAACTGTAAATTGGTGAGACCTCGTCACCAGTCTAGAACAGCACTTAAATTCGTACAGTCTAAGGACCATAGCAAAGATCTCATCCAAACAATGATCATGAAATTATTTATAGAAAAAGATTAGGGAGGCAACTTTACGGTGCTGGGAAAGTGACTGAAACCAAGATGCCAGATCAGGACTAATAATATTGCTGATTCCTCTTTAGATTTTAGCAAGGATCTCTAGATGTATAGCAGGAGCACCAGACCACTTGTGGCAGAAATATTCAAAGAATAGTCAAATGGTTTTTTACGTGATTTTTTACGACGAATATTTTTTGTACGATAAGTTTCCCTGTGAGCTATAATCTCCAGCTATTCAAGTGTAATGTCAATCGACATCTCCAGTTGCCTTGATCTATCTACTACCCTCATCCTTTCTTCTATCACTCCTGTCTGATCTTGCTCTAAATTTTCTGTAACCCCTTGCGTCCTAGTGGCTTTCCGCCTTGCTTGGGGTGAAATGCTTAAAAAAAAAAAAGAATTTTTATAACTTGGAAATAAATTTGGGAATAATCGAAATTAATTGCAAAATCCAGCGAAAGTCAGCCATGAAATAAAAATAATTGTTTGTAGTGGAGACAGAAGAATTATCGTTGAACTTTTAAAAGGTAAACTTAAATATTAATGCAATACTTAAATGCAGCGATCAATTTTGAGTTCTTCTGTAGTTTATTGCATAAGACAGTAGCATGCCTCGCAAAATGAAATCTCCGTCAACAGAGGACCAAATTTCAATCAACGGAGCCAAGGCTGCAGCGAGGAAAAGAAAGTCCCGTATAAATGAAAACCCAGATCAAACGGTAGCCAGGAGAGCTTCAAATGCTGAGATAGATTCTGGAGATAAAGAATTCACTCGCACGGCACAGAGAACCAACTTTCTTAGCAGTAGATCTAGCAATGGATTCAATATAGTCTTTCCACTTCAATCTGGAGGAGGTCTTTCGTTTATCACGGTTCAACCATTATACCATCCGGGCAGGATGCTACTGAGGTTGAACGCCGTATAGGAGTTGCAAGGTCCGCATTCTTGCGTCTCAAGCGGTCACTATGGGGGCGACAGGAGATTTCTACGGCTTCGAAGGGGCGCATCTATCAGGCTATTGTTCGGACTATCCTTCTCTATGGCTGCGAAACGTGGCCAGTTAGAGCGGTTGATCTACGAAGGCTTGAAGTGTTCGACAACGATTGCCTTCGCTGCATTCTACGATGCCGCCGAATCGATCGTGTGCCCACAGCCACTCTACGTCGTCGCCTGAGTCTCCGTCCTCTTCCACCCGTCCTGCTCCAGGTTGTCTCCAATGGTTCGGGCACGCAGCTCGACGCCCGGAGGGAGAGCTCATCCGCGATGTACTTCTCCCTCCTTCTCTTCCTGGCTGGCGAAAACGTGTCGGTGGGCAGCTGAGGACGTGGGCTAGCACAATCAAGGATGACCTAGCAGTACTATCGGGTCCATAAATAGTTGGTATTCGACAATGGAATCGTGATTGGCTCGCCATTTCGTGTGACCTGGCTTAGGATCGGCGAGCGTGGGCAGCGATGGTTCGTGATGCTGTACTTGCTCGGGAGGAAGCCGGTTCAACCCGACAAGGGTGAAAACCGATACAAGTCAAGTCGGCCGAGAACGTTAGCCCGAGAAGGCGCAATTAGTCACTCTTTTGAAGGTTAACATCAGTGAAAAAGACCTGTATGCTAAACCCTGTCGAAAGCTTTCGTGATATACAAAGCAGCAGCAGGAGTTTCGTCATTTTTATCTAGAACTTAATAGACTCTTTCCGTAATTATCGTCAGTTTATCAAAAGTTGACCTAGAGAAACAAAAGTTATATTCTCTTTCATTTTTTTTTCTTCTTTTCGATCAGTTTTTTTTTATTCTCGATTACTTTCTTCTTCTTCTCAATCATTTGCTTTTTCACCTTCTTCTTCTTTACGTACTTCTCGTACATTTTCTCTTTTTTTCCTTTTCATTCTCTCGTTCTTCATTTTCACATTCTCGTTTTGTTTTTACATCATCTCGTTCTTCTTCTATTTATTCTTATTCTCGTTCTATTCCTCTTTCTTTTCGTACTTCTCATCCATCCTTTCATTCATTCATTCATTCATTCATTCTTCTTCTTCTTCTTCTTCTTCTTCTTCTTCTTCTTCTTCGTCGTCGTCGTCGTCGTCGTCGTCTCTCCTATTCTTATTGTTTTTTTTTCATTGTCCATCCATTTTCGTAATCAGCAACATCTTACTCCTTTCCCTTTTTTCTTTTGCGCTCAAAATATCCTTTTCAGATTTACACTATTCATTTTTCCTCTCTTCCTTCATATTTTCTTACCATCGATCTTCAAACCATTCTCCCCCCACACACACCCAACCATTCCGTAGTTTCTCGTTCAAAATCTCAAAGACTTTCACAATCTTCAAACGCATCTATTTCAGATTCCTGTGATTAAATTTCTTTCTAGTCAGCATTCGCATCGCTTCGAGTGGCAACAGAGGCAGCGGCCAACGCAACACATTTGACGTTCCTGGGCAAATGAAATTTTCTTTTCGCGTTTTGCACGAAGGAACTCGTCATTACAAGAACTCGTTCGTTTATAATAATCCCCTGCAGTGACACAGACAAAGAAGTAAGACATACACATCTCCAATTCAATTTTTCATCCAGAACAAAACCAGGAAAACAGGTTTTTTCCCCAAGTGGCCATTAAAGAAAGAATGCAGTCAGACCTCAATTTAAGGTCCCTTGCTTTATACAATATTGAATTTAAGTAGCAACTCATTCATGTTTTATAAGGGATCATTTGTTTATAGCCATAAGGAGCCATTCATTCATTGGTCATAACAAACCGAGATTTTATTTTTACTGAACAAAGTCATGTAAATGCTAGAACAAATCATTCATCTAGTCCGAGTGAAGTTACAATGTACACGTCATCGTTGTTCGCTATAAAGTTGACTGGGAATGAAAAATCATGCCGATTTCATCTATTTTTAAAGACAGTTTTTATTGCTCCCAGCAGGTAAAAGTCTTATCGGGAGTCGGTGGGTTTACACTGGCTCTTTAGGATTTATTTTATTTATCCCAGCTCTACTTAGCGTATTGAGCACTCTACGTTTTAGCTTTATTACTCACTTGGGTTTTTTCTTTGGTCTAAGAAGTAATACAGTAAATACAAAGCGCATGTACTGAATTCAGTTTATTCACTTTCATTGACGCTGTCACACATCGAGAAGGTCTGTATGAACGCTATCATTTTTTGCCCAATGTACACTTTGTATTTTATATGAATGAAAATTGTGATATACAGGGTGGTCTGTGTTATGGGGTCCTCCCCTTTTTCATATGTGGACTCTACCAGTGTTACTTGGATGGCTGCCGTTAAATACCCAGAGTTAGACAGTCAGTGGGGTTAGTCGGAGAGAGAGAGAGAATATACGAACGGAGATAGTGTGAGGTAACCTCTTGTAGAAGTCAGTTACAAGCACGTAGACTCTAAGGAAGTCCTACTTCGAGACTGTATATATCTATCTGTATTTGCTACTAACGGTGTTTCTGGATTTACTAACAGTATTACCCTTTGTATGATTGTGTAAATACATTTTATTTCTTATATTTAATTATTGTGTTTGTTCTTCATTGGAGACCGAATTCATCTCGGAATCCACAACAGTCTGAAAGTCTTGTCACACCATACCAAAAGAGTAATGAGAACAATAGAAGAACAAGTAATACAATAAATACAAATCACATGGACTGGATTCAGTTTATTCACTTTCATTGATGTTGTCACACGTCGAGAACGTCTGTATGAACATCCATCATTTTCGTGTCAGCCATCTGAGAGTAGGCTTGACAAAACTTTCGGACTGCCCTGTATATGAAAAATTCTGTAACTTCCTTTAGTCCGTCCGTCACGCCCTCTAAAATAGCCATACATTTACCAATCGAAACCAAATTTTGGGGAAAAGTGCAAATAGGTAAGAGGGTACAAATTACGGTTGGTCTTTCTAGGGTTCATTTTTGTTTCCAAACAAACCCACCCATTCAACTTTCCTCGACTGGTTTGTGAAATTGAACGAAACGTAGAGTTTTTATATCTCGACAAAAAATCTTAGCGATAATTTTAACAATACTAAATACTGTGAGGATTTCTAGTATGGTAAATTCGAAACAATATAATTCTTCTTTTATTCTTTAAAGGTTTAAATATTTTATTTTATTTCATCATATTTCTGAGTCGACAAGAACCATAAGTAAAAATCTTGTGGATCGAAATAGCTATGAGGTAACTTTGGATTTTTATTCTATGTAATTTATATGCTCTGTTATAATAAATACATTGAGCTCTTTTTGTGGATCCGTTTTAATATTATTTGGATTCACTTGGATTATATATCAACGGATTATTACCTATATATATATATATATATATATATATATATATATATAATATATATCGAAATAGAAAATGTCTTAATATATATATTGAGACATTTTTTATGTTTATACGTTGTTTTTTTTTCTATAGATACAAATATTTAAGTAAATGCTCTGTTTATAATAAACAGTATTAACTACATTTACTGGCCTGAATGTCCGAGAAATTTTCATAGAAAATATGTGTCCTCCGACAGGAATGGAACATGTATCCTATACGGAACCGTCATATAGCCTGACGTGATTTTACCGATTGAGCCACATAGGAGCGTTTCGGCTAGCAAGGTTGATTTTACTGCTTTTAAACTACAATTCTCCATGATTTTTTTCACGTACATTTATATCTGCTCGATGCGTATCCAAATGTAAACAAATGACGTCATACATTATGAAATGGACAAAGTTCGACAATTATATTAAGAGATATTATTTTATTTACTTAAATATTTGTATCTATAAAAAAAAGAAAGTATAATCATAAAAAATGTCTTAAAATAATTGTCGGACTTTGTCCATTTCATATATATATATATATATATATATATATATATATATATATATATATATATATATTTATTTTACTATAAGAATGCGTTGAAAATCAGGAAGAAAGGGATTGTCAGTAATCAGGAATGAATGCAAGCATTACTGATAGAATAGGGCTATTATATGTATAATTGAAATGCATTGCTAATGATTTTACTATAGGAATGCATTGAAAATCAGGAAGAAAGGGATTGTCAGTGGTCAGGAATGAATGCAAACATTTCTGATAGAATAGGGCTATTATATGTATAATGGAAATGCATTGCTAATGATTTTACTATAAGAATGCATTGAAAATCAGAAAGAAAGTCGTTGTCAGTGGTCAGAAATTAATGCAGCATTACTGAGAGAATAGGGATATTATATTTATAATGTAAATACACTCCGAATTGTTTGATGATAGAAATTTATTAAAAATCAAGGAGGAAAAGTGGATCGTCGTCAGAAATTAACACTATAATTACTATAATTAAATAGGGCATTTATATATAAAATTCAAATACTAAATTCATTGACTCAGGGAACTTGAGACAAGGTGCTTTTTATTTTATGACTTTTTTGGTGATAAAACCCAATTCAAATTATGTCATTTGAATATAAGCTTATTAATTATGCATGAAAACTTTGTAATCTGAAAATTTAAATACTGGTTTCACTGTTTAAAACTTATTAATAATTTCACAATCATTATTTTCCATAGATTTAATCATTACGTAAAAGAGTAATATATTAACTTGAACTCAATGGCAACACACTTCAGAAATATGGCGTCTACTTTATGCGCGGAAGAATTTTTCCCGCTATTTACAAAGACCACCTACCAAGCCTAAATCGTAGACAGAATTGCAATTAATAGAGTATACATTATTTATCTGCCAAATATACCAGCAATGAAATATTTTAGATCAAGGTAAAATTATTGGAGAGAATTTTTCTTCTATACTCTTCAGGAAATTTATTTATTTATTTATTTATTTATTAAAGATGTCTGCGTCCGAGATGAGAATCCGTTTCTGTAACACGGTCTTCCTTTAATTCTAACGTCTACGTAAATGGCAATAAAAACTTTTGTTTCTGCTTTTGAAGATTTTGAAAGAAAATTCAACTCGAATCTTTTTTCTGCTGTTCGCCTAATATAAAGCCTAAGAGCCACTCAAGGTAGAGTGTTACTGTGCGGACTTATGTCAGCGTAGGAAAGAACAGTTGTTAGGAGTAAAGAGATGAAGCAGACTTTACAAGGAATCGGAAACCCAATCCTAAACAGGAAACAAGGGATACACCTCTGCTCCTGTTCAAAAGACCTGGGAGGTCTGTGAACCGGACGATAGGCAAACCTACTAACATTTGGTAAAGTAATTCTCTCTCTCTCTCTCTCTTTCTCTCTCTCTCTCTCTCTCTCTCTCCCCCTTTGACTGACACCAAATCGGTTGGGTTTCAATCCGGGCTTGAGGCATTCGGATATCTAGTCGCACTGAGGAGCTATGGTACAGCGAAACAGTACTGTCTTCGAATGATATATATATATATATATATATATATATATATATATAGATAGATAGATAGACAGACAGACAGAGAGAGAGAGAGGAGTTAGAGAGAGAGAAAGATATATAATAATGAAATGGGTTACCATTACCATTTTATGTGGCTGAATGGTAACGGCACGTCAGGCTATATGACGGATCTCATAAGGGTTACAGGTTCGATTCCTGTCTGGGAACGCATATTTTCTACGAAATTTCTCGAACATTACTTAAATACTTGTATCTATAAAAAGAACATTAAACATAATAAAAAAATGTCTTTAATAAATAAATTGTCGGACTTTGTCCATTTCTTAATATATATATATATATATATATATACACACACATATATATGTTGTTCGCAAAGTTATCCTTTTTGTCGTAACTGAATATCATTACCATATATATATATAGCCCATGTCTAAGATACAAAGACAAGCTGAAAAGCAACTTGTCAGCAGTTAATATACCACATAACACCCTTGAGCGCTTAGCTTTGGAGCGGGTAGAATGGAGATCAACGTGTTTTAGTGGACTCAGCAATTTTCAATCTGCTTGTCAGAATCATCTTCAAGAAGCGAGAGCAAGATCTAAAAGGTCAACCAATCTGACAGTGATCTCATCTCACAATCCTCACACTTGCTCCATATGTGGCCTCCTTTGTAAATCACTGGCGGGTCTTAAATGCCACTTAAGATTAGCGCATAAACTTTCATAACTGAATCAATAAGCTGGCAGATCCTCATACGTCGAAACCGACGGGAGAGTCCATTATTATTATTATATATATATATGATGGACTCTCCTGTCGGTTTCGACATATGAGGTTCCGACAACTTTGTTTATTTAACCCTGTGTGTGAATCGCAAATGTCATTTCAGTCCTGCTAGTGATTTGCAAAGCTGTTCACAGATTGTGCAAGAGTGTGGATTCTTGTAGTATATGGCTGGAACAGCAGCAGATATTTTATTCCTTTCCCTAGTTTGACGAAGCTTGACAATGTTTGATACTGCCTTGTTCTTGATGCTATTGTAGCATGTAATCTTCCATTCATTGCGATCAATTACGATGTTCTCAAAGGTAGCGTGATTTATATTCGCAGCT